TCTTTATTGACCCGTTCTCAATTGTTACAACCCCATTTTCTGCTCACAATTTGTCGATGGTGTTCTATCTGAGGATTGATATTGCGGATCAGACACATCACCCTCAGATTTATTGTCACTTTCGGTATCGTGATCATTATCCGCAGCATCGAAGAATGTATGTTGTTGTTTACTAGCGGATGCAGGCTGATGTCTAAACTTGAAAGGTGTGCGTCGCTGTTGCACTATTTCGAGTGGTTCAATCGAGACAGAAGTCCCCCGTCTAGCAATCACATACTGTTCATTACCTGATACGACCACTTTTACGGTCTCATCTACTGGCAGCGATGAGATTCGCTTGAATCGCGGACGTTGTGAAGACGATGTGGCGACTTGTTGACCTTCGCTTTCAGCACATTTCTCGTCGTCTTTCTGTAAACGAATTAAATATCAGCAGAATTTTTCACATGACAACAGAAATATTCCAGAGAAAATAGCACCGATCCATTTGGCTAATAATGCCAAAATAAACATCAGTTAACAGGCAAATCTAACGGAAATCTCACCCAGGAAAATTTTAAGATTCTACTTCATACTGTAATATTACGACTTCATTGTTTCATTCAATAAACCTATAACCTATATGAATAAAGTTCCCGTCAATTCTTTAATTAAGCCACAAAACTGTCTCTATGAGAACAAATTTCAAGAAGAATCACAGCTTACAGAATCTTTCTTCTAAGGAAAACTCGAATTTTAAGATGATTGAATGCTCACTTGATGTAATAAAGTAATATGTAATAAACTAATATGAAAAAGTGACTGGCCATACCTTGCCATCGTTTGTTGCCGAAGAAGATGACGACACGTTTTTCAATAGAAGTTTTTCAATCCTTTCCAGTCGATCATTCAAATCGTTTAGCTTTTCTTCGCTATCCTCAATCAACAATCTCTTATCAACTGTTCTTTCAAACAGGGAAATATTTCGTTACTTCTTCACATCCGAACACCAAATGCTCACCTATCCAACAACTCAATGCTTCCGAATGTAGAGAAATACATTCATCATCAGTAAATGAATTTAGAATCAAATAGAAGACACAAAAAAAGAAAAAGACAATGATTGAACCTTCTTAAATTCATAAAACAATTCCGCTTTGACAGTTTCCGGTGCCGTTTGCTTCGT